TATTCTTAGGTTTTCTTTTTCCGCCCTTCCTTTTTGAGTCTGCTTTTTGCTCTAGCAAATCTGTGGTGACAATTTTGTCTTCTATTTCATTGGTTCTTTGTTCCATCTCTTCAACTCTGTTCATGTGCCCCTCCATCATGTTGACAGCATCTGAAACATTGGACCTCATATTTTGGATAGTGGTTTCTTGTTTTTCATGTTTGCCACTAATGCCTCGTTTGTTTTCTCTACATTGTTCTGGACTGGTTTTTTTGTTTTTTTGTTTGTTTGTTCCTCCTGTTTTTTTTGTTTGTAGTATCCTGTAATTATTCAAGTTTGCCTTTCATCCATTGAAAATATTCAATCATTGTTCTTTTAAATTCTGTGTCAGAAAGTTCCATCAGACTTTCTGCCTTCAGGAAATCCATTGATACTGTGTCACCCTTTGGGGGTGATATCTTGCTTTGTGCTTGTGTATTGTGTGGGACATCTTGCTTTCTTTGAGACATTAATATGTTCTCGATGAAGATAATGCTCTAGAGATCAGTTGGGTAGCTATCCCACTTGTGCTTTTCTCTGAATGTCTGACTCCAGGGAAATGTCTGTTCAGAGCCTGTGAGAGCAGCCTCTTGTAGGTAAGATAGGTCAAGGTGCTCCGGATTAAAGGCAGGTTGATTAACCAGATGTGTAGATTCAGGTGTGGAGCCAAATAGGGTAGGGCATGCACGTGGTTGTGGCAATCACAAGGGTAGGTCAACCACTTGGAGGACCTCACTCAGGCCTCAGTTGTCTGGGTGTGCTTACAACTGGGGTCCCTATTCAAATTCCAGCTGTCCATCTCCCACCCAGTGGTTTTCATTCTCTGGTCCCTGTTCAGTGGTGCTCATACAGTTGCCCTTGCACCGTGGCTCCTGCCCAGGAAGGATCCTGGGTCAAGGGGACTCAACAAGACAAAGTCAAATTTCCACCAACCCAGTCGCCTCTGGCTGATCTGCAGTGTCCACAAAAGTTCCACCAAATTATCACTGGCCCACTCTTTCCTGGGCAGTTGGCATGCCCTTAGAGAGCTCAGCCAAATTCCCACCAGTGGGCTCAACCTTGGGAACTCTCACAGACAATAGGCATTGCCCAAGAAAACCCAATTAGGATCCTACCAGCCTTTCTCATGGCAGATCAGCCCCACAGCAGCTTGATTGGTGGCTTCAGATGATGATTTTCTCCATGGTGTGTCTTTGTGGTATCTCTGTAAGAAGGACATCTCTGAGTCTTTCCTTCACTGACTTTGCTTCCTTCTGCTGACTCAGAATTGTATTGTCCACAGCTGTTGTTGTGTTGTGTGAAGGAGTCTCTAGTGGCCCTGGAGCACCGCCAAGGGGTACAGGGTTATGGCGAGGCCACCAGGGTGTGCCAAAATTGTGGGGGCACATGATGCTGGTGGGGTGGTGTCCCTGGACATGGTGCTGTGGCAGGGATGGGGGTGCAGGGCTTGGGCTGCAGGGCTTGGGCTGCACTGGCAGTTAGGGGTTGCAGTCTGTTCCCAGATATTAAGCTGCCAAGTCACCAGTCCTCAGCAAATAAGACTTACTGTGCCGCATCTCTCTGCTTGTGCACCGTGTCACTCCAGATGGCCAATATTTTAAAAGTTCTAGGATCAACTTACTTAGTGAGCTCTTTTTCGTTCCAAGCACTGAGCTAGGAACTTCTATTATGATTATTATTTAATCTGAGCTTCTTCAACAGCCCTTTAAGTGATATGTTTGTCGTCTGTTTTCTGAAGTGGAAACCAAGACTCAGAGAACTTAATTAGTTTTGGCCAAATGCACAAAACTAATAAAAGGCAGAGCTCAAACTTAAAACACTAGTTTCCTGACTTCTAATCTGATGTTCTTTTCCAGGTTTCAAGGCACAATTGTTTATATGGTTACTATGGTCATTTTTACTGGTTGGTTGTTTGTTACAGTTTTTAATTTTATCTGTTGCACTGATGTAATTGTACAGAATACCCTTTATTTGAGTTTTTCCATACCTGCTATAGGTTTCTGGAGATAGAAAGTGCTTAAGTGGTAAGTACATGGTAGACAACTTAAAAGATATTTCTGAGGCGTCAGGTGGGGGGGGGAAGTTAGTCTTCCTAATAAGAGTCCCATCGATTGGCATCCATGTGTACAATTATCTGGTCCATACAAGCAGTCAACATAGTGCATGATCAGGCTACTAAGTGAAACCAGGTCAGCCAGTTCCCCAGTAACATTTTGCCACCCTTGGTAACTCTGTCCTGTGAATTTGCTTGCACAGATCATTCCAAGTTCTTTGAGATTTTTCTTCCTAGTTGTCCTAAGAAACCACATGTACTTATTCCATGATACTAATTCGGTTCTGTAATCATTGCTATTAGACCTGGAAATGTCCTTCTGAAGTGAACACCTTTCGGTCTCCCTGGCCTCCCTGGTGTAGAGTCCCCACCTGCTGGTGGTTTGATCATGAGCATGGAAAGTCAAGCCCTGAGCAGTATCTGGCTAGTTCTGAATGATGGCACATGCTTGTTGTAAATCAACAGGGGGAAAAGATAGACAAAATTTCTGTAGTTTCTCTTTCCAGTCTTTATTCATTGAATCTTGTTATATGTGAATGATGCAGAATTCTTACTTGTCACTCTTTCCGGTTAAAAAATCAGAAAATCAAGAGGCTTTAAGAAGGTAAGAAAAGGAAGTCAATTCATTCAGGACTGACATCCAAGATGTGGTCCTTCCAGGTCTTTCTCTCTTCTTCTGGATCCAGCAAGAGCATTAGTATAGCAATAAAATAACCAGTCTCTCAATCATTAAACTATGAAGGAACATTGTGTGGAAAGTGGTGTCATATACTATCTGAACAGCTAAGGAGTCATAGGAGCAAGTACAGTGCTTAAGAGTGTGGGATCTGGGATAAGAAAGATGGTTTTGAGTCCTAGTTCTGTCATTTACTAATTCTGTAACCCTGGAAGGTTATTTAGCCTCTATGTATTTTGATGTGCTCATTAGTATAAGGTGATTGAAATGAAAATTAACTCACTTTACTGTGTCTTGCGAACATTCTTGCCGTTGTTAGTTGCCTTCAGGTTGATCCTTCATTCTCAACAGTCCATGTATTTCATAGTAGAACTGAGTCTTTATTCTCTGAGGTAGAAATACCTGCCTCTCCACCCAGTGGCTTCTGAAGAGGACATACGGGTATGCTTAGACATTAGAGGGTAGTAAGAATTGTGAGCTGCATTGTTTCTCCAAGTCTTTGTCTAATCAGGAATAGCCAGCTAGAACCAAACTTATTGCAACTAGGGACAGTAGCTGATACTTAAAATTGATATCTGCATTGATGAGAAATTGGCACTTCCTTGAGTCAGTCCTTGTCAAAAGCATCATAAACATAAGGAAGTGTCAACCACTATGAGGACACAACAGGAATTAGAATAGAATTGATCCATAGAATCTTAACAACTGTAATATTTTTCTTTTTTGTTGTTTTAACAATATAAATTTAATCTTTTACAGTTTTAGAGGGCTAAACAGCCAAATTCAGGATACCATTTCTAGAGGAATGGCTTCTTTCTCAATCAGTTTGAAGAAAGTTCTTTTGTTTTGACTGTGGTCTTTACAGAAACAGATTGCCAGGAAGAATTGTTAGATGGGTTAGAACCACCAACATATGGGTTAGTAGCCAATTGCAAATTACTTTTGCCAGCCTAATTCCATTGTTACATGCATTAAACAATACATGTCAAGCCTTAGATAAGTATCTAGCATTCAACCAGTATTTAATTTAGAAGAGAAATGAAAGGAAAACAAGCAAAAATTGCCGGACAACAATAAGAAACCCTTCTCTGTTTTTAGTACCGTATGCTCTGATAACCATCCTGATAAGAAAGCCCTTCTCTTTTACTCTATTTTACTCTCTTACACAATGCCAATATTTCGTCCAGTAAGGTAGGTTTCAACAAGGTCATGACACAGATCTTTATTAAAGCAGAAAACTTCTCCATTACAACTCCCATCAGTGAATCTTTACAGCTATTTTATGGTCACAAAAGCCTTTTAAACTAGTGAAGTAGAAAGGAGTCACAAGCAATTGCAATATATCTTACCAAAAAACTAATAGCAAAGGTAAGAACATGATCTTAACCAGATACTTTTGTTTAAAGGCAGTTTACTGATATTAGGTTTGGTTTTTTCCCCCCTTTTCAGCTACCACCACACAACCAAAGCGGAGAGGACACTTTTCTCGGTGCCCCAAGGAGTACAAGCACTACTGCATCAAAGGGAGATGCAGGTTCGTTGTGGCTGAGCAGATGCCCTCCTGTGTGTAAGTAGAACTCCTTGCACAGGCAAGCCTAAGGGTGCAGAATGGTGCCCACCTGTGAGTTGACAGGGCTGGAAAACCTGAGCTAACTATGACATCTGTCAGGACACCACTGAGCCAGATCTTGCCCCCCAGACACTTATTTAGAGGCCTATTTGCCAGACCCTTTTGGAGAAACTGACACACACTTTCCTCCTGAAAGATGAGTGTCCCCATCTACTTCCAGGCTAGACCCCTGTCTCCTTGGCTGCATTGTGCAAGTGACACGGTTTCTGTCCAGTGTTAAGGAAACTTTTCGGCTCAAATAATCTCCTAGGTGGCTCAAGTGGAAACTAACTCTCTGGCATGCATGAGGTAGCTCATAGTTAATGTAAATATGAAGGAATTCCTGCCAAATTAAGAGTTATTTTTACAGCCTGTGAGTTAAGTGCAAGGAATAAGTCCAATTTAAATAAGGATTTGCAAAGTTGTTTCAGTTCATCAGGGAATTGGGAGGGAAATTCTCTTTCCAACTCTCAGTAGATTAAGAGTCTGAATTTAATTTTACTTAAGCATAAAATTTTGTGTATGTTTTAAAATATTCCTTTTCTTCTAAAGGGATGTCCATGGAAAGGGCTCTGAGGGTCCTTTCCTGGAAGAGGAGCAAGGTGAATTTTTAAAGACAATTTTATCTAAAGTTCACAGAAAGTTCATGTTCTTCTGAATAATAACCCCTATATTTAAATTTTTTCATCCATCCCTCAGAATAGTGATTCTTAATCCTAACCATGTGAAGCTTTTAAGAATAATGGACTTCTACAAATGTAATAATAAGTTTAATAATAAGTTTCATTTAAAAACAAATATATCATGGATCTTGCTTAATTAGAAAGAAGTAAGAAGTGTTGATGTAAGGAAGAAAATTCTGTGTGTATGTGTGTGTATGAATTTGATAAAGGTATTGTTTTTATGCTATTGAATCAATTACAACTCACAGCAACCCTATGAACAATGGCTCTGAGCATTGCCCTATCCTGAGCCAATCTCACCATGTCTGACTTACCTGACTCTATTGCCACAGTGACTGTGTCAACCCATCTCATCTGGGATCTTCCTCTCTTAACCTTTCACACTTCCAAGTATGATATCTTCCTCCAAAGAGTATTCCCTCCTCACAACATGCCCAGAGTATGTAAGATGGACTTTCAAAATCCTTGTCTCCAATGAACAACTTGGTTTCACTCTCTCTAGGATGGACTTGTTTGTTCTCTTAGCAGGCCATGATATGCTCAGTACTCTTCTCTTAACACCATAACTCTGATTCTTCTTCTGTCATTCTTAGTTCAGCTCTCAAATGCCAAGCAAACGATTGAGAAGACTACAGCACACATTAGTCTCTAGACTGACATGGCTGCTATTTCGTTCTCTGGAGAGGTCCCTGACAGCAGATTTTCTCAGTACAACTCCTCTTTTGATTTTCTTGATGCTGGTGTCAAGGTTAAAATTTTCACTTTAGAGAGCAAGAACATGTGTATGAATATATACAAAACAAGACCTAGTTGTTGTTTTTAGGTGATGTGAGTCTAGTACAGTACATAGTGACCTCTTCAACAAAAGCTCTGGCCCTTGTTCTAGCCTGTGCCATCCTCATACTTCCTGAAACACAAGAACCCATTGCATCACCATATCAATCCACCTCGTTGAGGGTCTACCCTTGCTAGCATCATATCCTTCTCCAAGGAATAGCCCCTTCTAGCAAAATGCCTTAAGTATGTGAGACAAAGCCTCATCACTGCGGCTGCACCTTCTCCAAGACATACTGGGTTTTTTTTGGCCATCCATGGGATGTTCAGTGCTCTTCTCTAACACCACAGCTCAAAGGCATCAATTCTTCTGTCATCATTCACTGTCCAACTCTCAGCTGTATAGCAAGTGATCAGAAAGACTATGGCCTGAATCAGATTCACCTTAGTCCTCAAATTGACATCATTAATTCTCAATAATTAGGAGAACTCTCTAACTGCAGATTTTCCCAGTGCAATGCTTCTACTTATTTGCTAACTGCTGGTACTAAGGTTTGTAACTGTGGATCCAAGAAAGATGAAGTTGTTAACAGTTTCAATCTCTTCTCCATTCATTATGATGTTGTCTATCAGTCCAGTGGTAAAAATATTTGTTTTCTTGACATTGATACACACCCATATTGAAGGCTGCTGTATTTTTTTTTATCTTCTCAACAAGTATTTAAAGTCCTCCTCATTTTCAGCAAGCAAGGTTGAATCATCTGCATAACACAGGTTATTGATGAATCTCCCTCCAATCCTGATGCCACATTTCTCTTTATAGACAAGATTCTTGAATAATTTTTCTCAGCATACAGATTAAATAGGTATAGATAAACAACACAACCCTAACATACTCCCTTCTTAATTTTAAGCCGTATAATATACGTAGATAGGGAACTTCCAGAAGTTCAAGCAGTATCTAGAAGAGGCAGATGAATACTGGCTGAATGTAGATAATACCAAAAGAATATCTATTTATGCTTTATTGACTGTGCAAAGGTATGTGACTGTGTGGATCATGACAAGTTGTGGCTGACATTGAGAAGAATGGGAATCCCAGAGCAGCTAATGTGCTTATGTGAAACCTACACTTGGACCAGGAGGCTGTTGTGTGCAGAAAGCAGAGAAACACTACATGGTTTAAATTCTAAATCTTTACCTTTCATTTCCTTTACTGTCCCACTGATTTGGGAGAATGCATTGAGCTTGAAAAGCATTCATGCTCTTTGATCCAGGACATTTTTCTCTGGTCCCTATATCTGGTGATTCACACACACACACACACACACACACACACCGCAAAGAGAGGAGATTGATCGTTTTTATTCCCAGGAACTTTCTGGCTAGATCTGAACTTCTACAAAGGTGCCACCTTTGGGTTAGCCATGCATTTACCTATGGACTACTGGAGAGGTTTTGTCTTAGATTTGTTTGAATTTTTGACCCTTGGACAGTGTTGTTATTGTTGTGTACTGTTGAGTAGGAGCTGACCCATTGGTGAGTTTTCAGAGGCAGTTAATAGCACAAAAGGGGACTGCCCATCTTTCTCCCATGAAGCAGCTGGTGGATTCGAACTGTGTGCCTTTGGGATTGCAGTGCAACTTCTTACCCCTAGGCCACTTTACAAGGACAATAGTTTTGAGATTCCCCTCCCCCCCCCCAGTTAAATTCCCCTACTTTGCTTAAAAGGGAGCTTTGGTAGCATAGACCATAAGGAGCTGCTATGCTAACTTAAAGCTGGTGCCTCTCTGCCACCAAGGAGTCTGAGGGAGAAAGATGGATGATCTTTTCTTTTTACAGCCTCTGAAAACTCTCTGCAGAGTCAGCTATGAGTAAGTTCCAACTCAAACGCAATAGCTTTGTCTTGATACTTTCAAATGTTTCCTAAAATCCTTCATTTGTTTTTATGGCTTACTATACAGCGTCTTTTCCTAGCCTAGAAAGGTTAAATTCACTGTTGTTTTAAGATGGAACTCCATCACTCCTCCTGATTGCCTTTATTAACATTTTCCTTCTCAGAAACATGCCTGGTGCTAGTTAGGTGTCCCTGTTCTGTGATCTTGACACACTTCTATTAAGAAAAGCCTATGCCCACTGACATGTCACTCTTAATATCATTGAATGTGGCTGTGCTCCTACAACCAGTGCTTATGGCTTATTCATTGTTGTGTCTCAATGTTAAGCAGTAGGTGCTCGAGGAAGGGCTAATGAATTGATTGCCTCTGTCATGACCCATCTAATGTTATAGCCAAAACTACATACTTTCTTACTGGGAAGTAAAGCAGATGTAGGTCTTAGAAGACACATTTTGGGATCAGGTGAATTTACCTTCAGCTCTTAATTTCAGTTAGTGGTCAATAGTGTAACAATGGATAACTTTATTAGTCTTTGTTTTATCAATTATGAAAAGAGTGGTGAAATGAAGAAAAATAATGCCTACTAAACAGTTGTCACTGAACTCAGCATATGGTAAATGTTCCATAAATGGTATCATTTTGTTAATGGGAGATTATGCAATCTAAGTCTAATCATTTGCTTTCCTGAGATACCGTGGATTCAGGCAAATTCTCTGCTATTGGTGCCATCTTGGAAATCCAGAAATATTTCTATTTGTTTGGACCTGCAGGGATTTGTAGATTTTTGAGCTTTTATGTAAAACCAAAAGGTATTTCAATAACTCAAAACTCCTATTAATTTTCTTGGAATGGAAATATTTTTTTTTTCAGATTTTTAAATTTTATACACTCATTCAACATACTTGCTTTAAACAATGTGGTAAGCCAAATTTACTGATTTGAATTTATAATCTCAGTCCTCCTCATTTCTTTGTACTCCAACTGCCTTATCTGGAAGATGGGATGATAATAAAACCTACCTCTACAATTATCATAAGGCTAAATATATTTAAATTTATAAATTTCCTGGAACAATGCCTGGTGGGTATCTCAGAGCAGTGATTACAAATTGATTTTGCAGAGCCCTCAAGGATCCTGGGTATCTTTTTTTTTTTCTTAAAGGTTTCCCCCTCCCCATTTTAAAATTAAGCTTAAAATACTAATTTAAAAAAAATACTAATTTAATTTATCCCATGATAAACACTTATTAGGATTTTGCACTCGTTATTCTTACCTTCCTATGGAAGAGACACACATACTTATTTGGTGTAGAGCTGAAGGGTGGGTCCTGCCTGAAATTGACAATAACCTGATAGACTTTTAGCTTGGTGAGGATTAAATAGTAGGATAATCATTATAACCAGCACCACCAAATTTTGACCTTCTAGCATGGTTTCTTTGAGTTATAATGTACAGGAAGCTGTGTTGAGAAATTCAGCTGTGGTTAAAACACTGAACCTAAGTTGGTATTAGGGAAAAAAAAATTGGAAAGAGAAGAAAATAAATAATTGCTGTGCCATTTTATGGGGCATAGCTTTTGTTTATAAATGTTATGTAATAAATTTGCTCTAGAAACATTTAAGTGTATTGGAAGAGACTATATTTATAGAATTTTTAATTATGACAGTACAAATAACTTCATTAAAGATTTCCTTCCCACACATGCAATTAGAAGGGCTTTTTTTTCCAGCCAGTTCCAGTCCTGTGCACAACAGATTCTTTGATATTTCAAGACATTTTTAAGCTATCTACAGGTACCCAGGATTTCTGGCGGGAGCAAGCCTTCGGAAGCTCTGACAAGCGTGCTCTTGGGCGGAAGTGAGGCTTGAGGGCCGCAGCAACTGCAGATAAGCAAGGACAGGCGTTTTTCACAGGTACCCAGGATTTCCGGTGGGCCCTCAGGCCTGCGGCCCTCAGGCCAGAAGGGGAAACATAATCTACACAGAAGTTCTACAGGACACGTCACCTTCCCTTGGAGACAGCACAACTAAACTTA